CATATATGCAGGCTATGTTGGTACATGTATGCTTGTATGCAAGCAAATAACCTTACAGTGGTTTGCTCTTGCCTCTTTTTTTCTTGCTTTTTATTTATACACTAAAAATGTGCACAATAGTAATAGCAGCAACAACAATAACACAAAATGTGAATTTACTTTCAATTTATATGACCTCGTGCTAATTTGAGTTCATATCAATTGAATTAAACAAATACCAAAAAAAAAAATTAATACAAAAAAGAAACAAATATAATAAATGAAATCCAAAAATGCAAAATTAAACAATAAAATAAAAATTGATGTATTGAAGCATTTTCGAAATAAGTACACATTTTTTTTAAATTAAAACGAACTAAAAAACTTTTTAATTTTTTTATAAACAAGCCTTGAAAAGTATCGTTTTTATATATAACCTAAGGATAAATATCTTATGTGTCTTTTCAGCTCGTTTCTTAACTGAGACAAGGATTGTCACCCGTTTGGCTTGATTTCAATTCTATGTAATATTTAGATAACCTGCACTTTTTTTTAAAAAGCACATTATATTCACTCTTCAAATAATTTAATTTAAGGAAACAAGTTAGAAATGAAGAAGCAAACCAAGTTTTCAATACTTTCCAACCATTTTAAGCTTTTTAAACAATCCCTAAAATAGACGGCCAGTCAAATTGTGAATTGATTCATATTCTCCATCAAATATATTATCTCTTAACCTCTAGCTGATAAACCGATTGGCCGATTCAGAAGTTTGCGTTGATAAAAAAAAATTTTTATTTAATATCTGAGCCAATAGTATCTACTTTTGTGGGCTACAAGCCAAAGCATAATCCCTATAAAATTGAGAGAGAAAGCTTTCGAAAGTTTCTTGCAATCTTCTTTTTATTTTACACAACTATAATTTTACGCGTACCGGGGGCGCTACAAGACTAGAGTTATTCACCGGGAACAATAGTTTCTATTTTATTTTATATATATATATTGGTTTTTGGATTGATTTGAATTTTGAACTTTTGCTAGTTGGAGAATTAGTAAAAATCTTTGTATTGAAATTCGTTATCGATCCCATTCGTAATGAATATGAAGATATGAAAAATTTGAACAAATGGACGTTGCTTGGTTGATGAATCGACAAATTAAGCTCATCTCGCATATTTCTGTTAATTCTGTCAACTAATCGGAGTGTTTTATAATTTAAATCTCGCAAAAACTTTCTATCAAAACGTTACTAAAAGCTATTAAGATGAATAATCGGGAAGTAAATCTTGATCGCAATTTTTTTTAACCAATTTTGCTTGGTAGGTACGAAGAGTTCGCTGCTTATCCGCAAATTATTTAAATGTTTTCCTTTCGATTTCTCGACTTTCTTTGCTCATATTTCTCTCAATAAATTGATATATTTTTGTAAATTTCGACTCAGTTGCTATTTTGTTTTTCTCTTCTTTTTTATATTTATAAATAAAGTTATAAAATGTGAATTGTATATGTGAGCGTGCCTATGTTTGTGCGTGTTCGTGTATGTATGATGGCCTGAGTTTTTTTAGTTGATTTGTTGTTTTAGTGTGCTTTTTTCTTTTTAAAACTGTGACCTAGTTTCAGGCAACAAACGTCAGACAAACAACGGTCAATGAACTTCACTTTACACATATGCATACCTATGAAAAATTAAAAAAAATAAAAAAATATATATATATAAATATAAAATATATATATATATATTCGTAGAGACGAATAGAGGATTCATCTTGATGTTATAGTGGGAAAAAAAGGCGTACAACACTTATATTGCAGCACACGCACACATGCTTGTTATCTATATAGAAACTCACAAACTCAAATGCGTGACAGACTTTGTAATCAATAAGCGCAACATTCACTGAGAAAGTGAGCGATTACGGTGGTAACTTTAGTATACTATATATATATACTATAATATCACACAACGTGCATCAACAACATGCATGTGGTTCAGTGCTGTTCTTATTGTTGTTGTTACTGCGAATTTCAGTTTCATTTTCTTTAGTAGGTCTGCTAATTTTTAAAACTGTTTTTGTATTTTTGGACTTGACAACATATTTTTGATAAAGATTGTGTTAACGAAATTAAAAAAAAAAAATGATATTTTTGTTTGAAAAAAAGTTTGCATTTGCAAAATGAAAGCACATGTTTGCGCAATAATCTAATAGATAAACGTGTAGTAATATAATATGTATATATATATATACATAATCATCGCATTATTGTTAAATTTTACGAGGATTTTGAATTATCCTAACAATTTTAAGAAATTGGAATAATTTTGATACCCTAACAGATTTCTGTTAATAACTTATTAACTGCAATAGTTTTCGAAATAAATTACGTTATTGTAGTCATACACAGAAACCGGTGCGGGAAACTTTGTCGTATTCTTTAACTTATTTTTTGTCTATTTATTTATCACATTTGTGTTCTTTCTCATAAATATTGATACACGCTTTGTTGTTCGTATGTAGTTTGTTTCGGAGCGACGCTTGGCTTTGAATCGATTCAGTCAATCCCATGCATATATCGGTAGCTTGAAGATATTCCAGATTAGCTCCTAAACACATCAGGCTTTTTCATTTGATTCTCGAATAAATGCGTTAATTAAAAAAGCGTAATAATTAAACGAAAAGAAATAATAATAATAAATAAATAAATAGAAACATATCTAAACGGTGCTTTGCCAAACTATTGGATGGATGACGTACGATCCCAAAACTATTTAACAGACAGTGACTGCGCATTAATTTTGTCAACCAATTTAAATTACTATCCCACTATCCCATATATCACAGATCATATATACATACTCGTAGTTAGTTCGAAATTCTGTATCGGGTTAGCATTCATCGGACATTTTCGAAGTCGTAAGATTTGAACGAGAAAGATTAAGCTTAAAGGGGGCTCAAAGAAGCCTAGGGAGCAAGGGAGAGATATCAATATTAAAACTAATGAGTCTGACTTTTTAATGTAGTCATATTAAAGTTTCAGAACGGAATCAATCGCACTCAGTATGAGGAACGCAACATTAATTAATAACAAAATATGTATTGCGTATTTTTTATTAGGAAAAGAAAAAAATTTTAAAACTTGTCCGCGCCGCAAACAAAGAAAGAAACAAAAATATATGGTTCTTTTTCTCAAACAGAAAATAGTAGTAAGTTTTTCTAACAAATCACTTTCATTTTCATCACTCGCTCACACTATCATCTCAAACAACCAACAAAAAAGAGCTCAGCCATTATTAACGTACACATTAACAAGTGCATGTAAGAGTCTTTCTTGCTTTATCACCCAACAAACAAACGAAAAAACAAAGCTTCGTTAAGCCAATGAACTCAAAGTGTGTTTATTACAAGCAGACTGCCATATACACAAATGCACAATAAAGTGTTTATATATATACAGGCTTTGTATTAGTAGAGCATGAAGCTAATTTTGTTGTCTTCTTGTTTGGATATCATTGTTGTTGTGTCACTATATGCGAAAAGACTCTTCAAGTACGTTAAACTATATTTAAACAAATTTATATAGTTGTTCGTATAAACAATATTTTTTCTTCAAGTTATAACAAAACAGGCAATATCATCATATTCATCGCCATCATCGTCATCATCAAAAACGTGAGTAAAAACAATAACAATAACAGTAACAATAAAAACAATGAACAATATCTGTATACATAACTTTGAATATTATTTCTCAGCTTTTTTTTTTATGCGGTGTGGCTGGAATTTATAATAATTTCCTGTTTAAATACGTAATAACGTATAATTTTTTGTTATGTTTCTTCGTTAAGTAATTCGAAATATTTATACAAAACCAAAACAAAAAAAAAAGAAGCAGAGATACATGTACTTATACAAAACAAATGTACATGAATTCTTCAAATTACGATCTTTATGCGCGTGCACAGCACTTCTTATGAATTTGTTTATCCGCTAAAGGCTTCCTTTTTTCCGCTGCTTTGCTTTATTATTTATTTATTTTCCTTGTTATTGTTAAGTTTTTTTACTTACGTAAAGCAAAACGTCATGTAAGTATTAAGAGTCTCTTCTGCAATGTTACTTTGTATATATATATGTATATATGTGTATATGTACTTGCGTTCATATGCTTGCCTGCAAAAATTTAGGTTAAGTGCGGTCATTCAACTTTCAACACCATTTCCACTTATTTCATCTTGAGTGAAAGATGCGGGAGTTTGTTTGTTTGTTGTTCTTACCCCATACCACTAATAATTTTCAAAATTCATCATTAGTCCTGTACTGATGTTTGCAACACGATATTGGAAAAGATTCACCCTTTTCCCTAAATCAATCGATTCTTGATTAAATTGATCAAAAAGTTTATCTTTAGGCGTAAGGCCGCCCAACAGATTTATTAGATAGCATATCTATTCATCTATGCTACTGTAGGTCATTAGACGTATTTTCTCTTTGCTTTTTTTTGCAAGATTTTCATGATGACGATAGTGGACGTTGGGATTAAGGCGAAAAGGATCAAAAAAAAAAAAAAAAAAATTCTAGGCTATTTTACCATATGCGAGCATAGGTTGAAAACATGATGTCTATTTGACTTTTCTGATTTGTGTTACTTTACATATCAGAAATCATCATTTTACTGCATGCCTGATATCTCGTTTCATTTGTTTTGTTATTTGTATAAGCAAAAAAAAAAAGAAGCAAAATTGCTCTTCAAGACAAAAGTTATTGAACTATAAAACTAATTGCATAAGAGTGTTAGGGAATGACAAAAAACAAAAAGAGAAGAAAATGTTTAACTAAACTTAAAAAAAATTAGCAAAGAGCGGATTTGCGATGACATTAAAAGTTTTTACGGGCATACACTCATTATTGATACTTCATTTTCATAAACAATTTTCCATTTCTACTTTCGATATCAGATTAACTTCTATTTGTTGTCCTGCCCTATTCTAAACCAAGTAATAGTTTGCGTTTCAAAACTTCACTCACCATCTCGGCTCATTCCAACTGCTATACATTTTTTCAGACGACAATATTGGCAACGATTGCGGTTAATGCGTAAAATGCTGCACTGTTGGTTTTTTGTACAAGGACGATATTGAATTTTTTGTTGAATTGATCGGCGGAAGAAACCCTGCAAAAAAGGAAAAAACAAATGATAAAGTAAATAAATATGTTAATTGCTTATATTGTGTGTTTTAAAAAATTAGCAAAAAAAATCATATTTAGTTTAAAGTTATCCCCTTAATGTTAAGAAGTAGTCAAAGAATATATGCAAAAAAGTATCGAAATTGCTGGCAAATATTCTTATTGCTGGCGAACTCTTAGTAAGAGTTTCGTCAAGTGTTTTAAGCTAAGAAAACTATTTTTGCTAAAAAGTAAATATTATAGGCAAAAATAATCGGTTTTGCTAAAAACAGCTGACGAAACACGCGGTTCTTTCTTTCTTTTAACGATGACCGCTGCTGCAACGTCATTATATAATAATATAGTTGTTAGGGGCGAGCGAAACTGAATAATTTAGTTTACATAAATGAATTACTCGTTTGATTGTTTGTTGTCGAAACCTACTTCGTCTTTATCAATTCCTTCTTTATCGCTGCTGCCTTCACATTCCATTTTCTCCGCATTGTTATCTGGTGCTTCCATTTTAATCGTTTGTTCTGTTATACGTTCCGGTGTTCCCATCATAACTATTGCACTTGTGCCATGGTTATGATTGTGATGACTGGTCTCTAGATTTTCATCGAATTTTTGACATAAATAATTTAAAGTGTTTTGTTCAACTTTTTCATTTTTAATATGTTTAATATGCTCTGAGCACAATTCGAGCTTGATTTCATCACAAAGGTGCTCATCTTCACAACCCGCATCAATTACGTCTATATGACAATCCATACAATCGCACATTGAGACTAAACTGGACCGACGAGAGCGGACCACAATACGATCATGAGAGGTTTCGTGTTCTTCCTGATGATGGTGCTGTTGCTGTTGCTGAGTAATTGCTACGGTATCTTCAATGCGTTTTTTATGTATGATTGTTTTCTCTTGTTTTTCCGACTGAATGGATAAACAAGTGCAGCCATTATTAGCACTCGAAGCGCTTAAAAGCGATGAGTTACTATCAGAACTATCACGTCGTTGCTGTTGCAGCTGTTGTTGATAATTCTGATGTTGTTGTTGTAGTAATATGGCAATTTCCTTATGGGTTTGTTCGGCGAGGTTAAGTTCTTGCTTAATGGTGGTGTTGCTACTACTGTTACTGTTACTGCTAGTATTACTATTACAGTTACTGTTACTGTTCTTACTGATCGTGGTGCTTCTTGTGCTTAAGACATCCAACGAATAATTCTCTTTAATATCACACGTATAAGCGACTTGTAATTCGTCGTTCTCATGCTGATCTTGTTGTTCCTGATTATGTTCTTGTTGCCGTTTTTCCATTTGTTCTTTTTGCTTTAATTCGCGAGCATAACGGATTTTCTTCCACGGACACTGCTGAGGTTCGACTGATGCTAAATTATTCGTCGTCGTTGTTTCTAAGTGAGTCTTTTCTTTGCTTTTGTTATCTTTGTTTTCTACATTATGCTGATGATCTTCTTCTTTTTTCCCAGTTTCACTGTCATTTTTCGCTTGCTTTAACGACTCTAAAGATGTTAAGAATGTTACCTGATGCGTTGGATTTAAATTATTTATATTACGACAATTGTTATTAGCGTTGTTATTGTTTTTAAGGTTGTTGGTGGTGGAGGTGGTTAATGTCTTTATATGGTTACTGGTATCACTCTTTAGTGTTGTAGGTGGTACTCCGTGCTGTGGTTGCAGTTGTTGTTTCTGGGAGCCTTTCAGTCTTTTCGGTTGTGCCAATTGTTGTTGCTGATGTTGCTGTTGGGGTTGTTGAGGTGGTAAATAAACTGCGTGTTGTGGTCGCTGTTGTTGCAGTTGCAGAGCTACATTCAATTGAGGACTAG